TTGTTTTTTTTTTTTTGATTGGCACTTATAGAAAAGAATGCCTAACTGTAACCTGAAAGGGGAAGGTAATGATTTCTGAGCAAACATGGCAAAGAGTTTTACTTTCAATGACTGATTTACAAATCTTCCACCCTCTGTATAGCTGGACAAATGCTGTTTGTGTTGCACTACCTCCACTGGATGGCCCTGAGGAGCATAGACAATTCCTGGGAAGGTTTATACATTAGCCCCCATGTATTTGGAGCTGACACAGGGGATAGAACGGGGACCTCAAAGCACCTGGAAAAATCCTATGACTTGAATATACAGATCTGTGATTTTAATAGGAATGATTCTGAAAACACCCGTGTGATGTACCCACTCAATATACCAAGTATAGTACTGAATGTGTGCTGCCTTTATGTGTGCTGCTTATCTGTGTTTTCTACCTGGTGTCAAATAGATGCTGGATTTACAGACCCGCTAACTATAAATCTGTACAGTGACCATCACTATAACTATCAACTGCCCTATCTATCCCATGTATCTGGATGGCAGATACATTATACAGATCCTTCCACTTGGCACTCATAGTAGAGTTCACATTGATTTGTTGAGCATGGAGAAAGACCATACCATATAATGAAAGATGCCGTGCTGCACTCCTTACCGGATCCATTCCCATGCAAGATGCAGGCGGGTGCTCGTAGTGACCACGGGTGGCGCCGTAAAATAGGCCGGGGGTAGGCATCCTCAGCACTCCATGTGTTTGCAACTACAAGTCCCATGAGCCATTGCATGACTCCTATAGGCTAAGGCGTGATGGGGTTTTTAGTTTCACCACAGCTGGAGGGCTGGAGTTTGGACATCCCTGCCATAGATGGAGTACTGATGTTTTATATGTATTTTTTAAAATGTTTAGCATCGTGCCTCATTGTGTACGTCTTTCTGAAGCAAATAATGTTTTGTGACTATGTTGGAAAGTTTTTTATGCCTGGAGATTCTGTCAGCAATGATACTTCCTATTGCAATTTGCAGCATCATTGTCAGGCTGCAGTGCTTGTTCCTTTAGTTGGCCGTTGCACATGTCACCTGTAAATCTCATTGGTAACCCAAACACCCAACTGATGGAGTGTGCAGGTGTGCTGGGCAAGGCAGTATTGACATTATGAAACAGGAAGTGCAGTCACAGGATTTCAGAGTGAGGAAACGTTTTGAACAGATTCACAAAAACAAAAAAAATGATTTGCTAACTAAAAAACAGATTTTGGTTTTTACATCCGATGCACTCTAAGGCATTTCCCCTATTGTGACCCCAGTGTGCTAAAAAAAAGACATGTTTCTTGCTTGTACAGTACATGACACAGGCAGATTCAGAGACAACTGGGTAATAAGCAGGCATCACCATGTGATCACCCACCAGTAGCGTCATACATCCAATGAAGGAAGAGAGGAATATACAGGACCCTCGGCTATACTCATTTAGGACAAGCATACCCACTCTAGGAGGGGGTCTTCAGGGACCAGGTTAACACAAGTAAAGATACGCCACCGCCCTGGAGCTGTATAGCACCCTACGGCTAACCCAGCGCAAGGCAGCGTGTGCCAAGGTGGGCACCTAACGCAGGATCCAGTGCCTGAAGCGACATTACAGACTGGCCCCACATCTCTAGTCCTATGCGGTCCAGGTACGGTCCCTGAGTCTGCTGTCACGAGGCACCGATCCAAAAGCTGCAAGTTTGCTGCCTGTCCCAGACACAGCCAGAAAGATCTTGATAGAAGAAATGCAGAAACAATGTAACTACAGTACTATACATCAACCTCAGTAGAGAGGAGACATCCATCACTCAAGTACACTACCAACGGCAGGGGGGGTATATATATGTGGGTCCTCACAGCTCTGCCCAATCCCCTGGTGATACCTGATTCAGCCATTGTCCTGTACTGTACTCCAAGAAATGGATTCTACTGGTAAGTCAGCAATCCTATTACAGTGTGTAGAGCTCCCATTGCTCTTTGCCTGTAATTACGA